AAATTATGACAAAAATTATATCGTTAAAACCGTTACAATAAAATGTTCAAATTTAACTTAACATTCCCTATACACTTTTGTGAAAAACCCAGTAGCCAGCCCTATTTGAAAATATTTTTTTAATAAGACTGACCACTGGGTTTTGCGGCATCAGTGTCCAGCCGTCCCTTATAATGTATGTAGGTAAGTCTAATATATTTATTATTTAACTATAGTAACGAGGGCGTTTTAATAATTTTAGTAAAAAATGGCACCAAGACCGATACACTCGTATCCCATATATCCGTCGATTTTCACATAGTAATTTTATTGTTGATTTTGATCTCATTATTATTGATAAGTGTTATGGCTGAGTACAGGGTACACAGAGGCTGTTTATTGGATTTTGGAGGCTGACTATTGGGAAAAAATGCCATTTTTTCTTTAAACCTAAATATAATATCAGTACAGAAGATTTTTATTTGTTACATTATTTATATTAAAACTATAATAAATGATTGATCAAACAATGTGGTACGTTTTTATATCCGACCTACTCTGTACAAATAACAAAGATTCAAAATTGAAATTCCCGTTAAAAGGCGTCAGCCAGTAGTCTTACTGGTGCCTTTACTCTACTTTTAAAATTAATAAATTAAAATCAGATCAATCTACGATCGAAAATTAATATCAAAATCAAATAATCCATAGGTAAAATTTTTACACTTGAAAACGTCATTTTTAAAGCTAGTGCTCGTTCACTATGCTGACCTCCCTGAGAAGAACCAGCAAGTAACTCTAGGGATTAGATAGATATAGGCACTTTTTAAATAAACTTAAATGCTTTGTGTGGAATTTAGTATGAGTCTCTTGTCTTTCCGTAGATCTTTATCTAACACGTAGTCTACAATTTTGTAATATGCCTTTTCAATTAAAATACTTTTAATGTAAGTCTTAGACTTAGGAAATGGTAATATTAATATATGTTCCGGAATCTTATTGTAAAAACGTATACAGTTCCCCATACAAGAATCGTTTACCTTAGTTAAACGAAATCGTGGTACCATGAGTTTGGACTTAGTTGTAAGGTTAATATTATGGATATCTTCACGAAACATCTTAACGAAATTATGTATATTTTTTCGGGCATACAAAATATTTGAGTATATTTACTGTGATGCCACAGTCATGATACCAGTCTCCTTAAAAAAAACAACTTGATCTCTAGACACTTTTGATGTGTGTATATGACTTCAAATTCTAATTTACGTAGGCATAAATGTTTAGTTGCTATAGTGTGAAGTCTCCAACTGGCATTAGGTCAGCATGGCCGGCGGATTAAACCCTCTCCTTAGAGGGGTCGAGATCGGTAGGTTTTAATACTTCAGAAACTTTTGTAAATGTGAGTACAACAACACACAGAAGTATATCACAGTCGTATGAATAATAATGGATATGGGACAAATAAACAAATTGACAAAGTTTGAAATTATTTAAGGTATACTAATTCTTCAAAACCATAGAAAAAAACCAAAAAACCAAAACCATAGAAAATTTTCTATAGATCAAATTCTTAGACTTTCGAGTGCTTACACATTGGAAATAAAGCTATTTTTATTAATATTTTTTTTCGAATCTAAATCGTTTATATTTGTTTTTTTATGAATAAATCTTACCGTCAGTCCAACTTTTTAACTTTTAAATTTTTTAACTGCCTCTGTGGCCGAACAGTTACCGTGTTGGATTGCCTCTCCCCATCGGAAACTGCGTCGCTTCTGAGTCGAAGCGCATAATTGCGATTCACAACTGGCCAATAGTTGATTGAACTCACAAATTAGAAAGATATAGTAGGAATCAGGTTCATATTCTCGCCCGGAAACCCATCTGATTTCGAGACTCGGATGGGCTACCCGAACGGATCGATTCGCTCGCTGGGCTATACAACGCTCATACCCTCAACATAGCCCCGCACTAGGAACACCCTATGTCGCGGGTACCATGGACACACACATAGACAACCACAAATTACACCCAACACACGAGAAAAATAAATGTAGGCGATACAAATACTTCTCTCGGTCCGGGAACCAAGCCCGGGACCTCTGTGTGGCAGTTAACTATGTATGGCCAGGGTGTGCTCAGAAGGAAACAAGTAGGTTTAACACATTGAAATTGAAGAAAAAGAAAAACAGTGAACAAAGTGACATTTGCAACATTGAAACTAGACCAATTTCTCCATTTGAAAATCGGAAATATTCATACCGATACTCACCAGTGGCAGTTTCTCAGCATTCAGAGCGTGTAATCGCATTATAGACAATGCAGGATGTGCAATATCAGCAGTATGACTTCAGTGCCAAGGTACACAGTAGGACTTTGCCATTAAAACTCACTTTTCGGATCTAAACTCGCATATATTTAAACCAACGTTTCATGGAATGATGGTTTTAAAAAAATTGTAAATTTTACGTCAAGTTTAAAGTGAAAAATATCTCTTTTAATGCAACAAAAGTTTAATCTATTTCAGATATAAAAATAAAATTAAGTAATCACAAATGCCTTACGCTCAAATTTGTTTGATCTTTTTTTGTTTAACTTTCGTTTTTAGTGACTCTTGTGGAAGACGAGACGAGAAACTTCAGGACGAATGGACTTACATTTTAAACGGAAAAGACTTCGTATCTAACATACATACGTCGAGCTAGAAAAGTCCATGTGACACTTTGTCTATGTGACATTTTATCGTTAGTTTGTCAGTCGTGTAACGGAGACAGCTCTCTATAAATCCGAAAAAAGCCGATTATGGACGAAAGTCTTTATCTAAAGTTCGATGTCTAGTATTTTAAGTGCCTGTAACAGACTGCCATTTACTATTTTCGGATTTATTAGTGTATTCAAGTAGTGGTGGTAAGTTTGCTGGTGGGGATTGGGGAAAACGAAATGGACCACTAGTTTGTTCTAATTACGAATAACAAAGATCAAACACTTTTCAAATTTCAAAATTCAAATTTCAAAATTCCTCAATCAGGTCGGATTAGAACCAACGTCTTCTAGCAAACCGTGTCAGACGCTATGCCAACTAAGCCATGGAACGAACCAGCAGAGCTTACGAATTTTTCTATGCGCTTGTTGTAGATCTTTGATTTTCGTTTTTGAAAACTTTTTATGCCGTAGCACCTTATGTCTCAGGGTGACATATGGCACTGCAACTGTTATGGACAGGCGTATTGCTTATCATCAGGCGCACGATTTATTCGTCCCGTCACTTGGTATTATGAAAAAAAAAAACAAGGCCGCAATATATCTATACTAACTGCAATCTAAATAAAATACTATTTCAACGAAATTTATTTCTTCATTCACAGAGGTACCTTTACAGCTACCATCGCTAACTAAAGACGTCGCTTTAATCATTGTAATTTTCAAGTTTTTCTTTCTTTTTTTTTATTTCACAAAAGTCTTTTTTTTCAAGTTTTTATTGAATGTCACGGTGTTTTACTACCATGATATTTAATTAATAATAATAATAATAATAATAACGCTCACACTCAACATAGCCCCGCACTAGGGAGACCCTGTGTCGCGGGTGCTATGGACACACACATAGACAACCACAAATTACACCCAAACTCACGAGAGAAATAAATGTAGACCATACAAATATTTCTCCCTGCCCGGGAATCGAACCTGGGACCTCTGCGTGGCAGTCCGGCATGGTAACCGTTTGGCCACTGAGGCAGTTGAATAACACGTGAAGAAATTTTAAAAAGGATTAGGGATGAGAGATATATTTTAAAGGTAATAGAGAACGGAAGGTGGAAAATGATTGGATGTCTGTATTTGTATATGGATAGAAGGAAAAAGAAAGAGAGAAAAACTAAGATGGCATACATTGAACAAATAAAGAAGAACATCAAAATAAGCAGCTATAAACAGATCTATGAACCGTAAGCAGTGGAGAAGGCTTTACCGACTAGTGACTCTTAAATAGGTGATGATAAAATTGTTGAAGCATCAAGGTTCATTTATTTTGTGTACTTTTGAATCGAGCTGTCAGTTGGTCGGGCATTCCAATAAGGATACTCTTTCTTTCTTATGTATTGTACATAATTTCGATTCTGTGTTCCACGTTCTTTGTTGTGGTGTAAATATTCGTATTATATCTCTTAAATGTTTTCAATTATATATTATGGTCTGCTTTTAAAACAAAACAATTGGTAAAAGTGTTAAGTTTACAAGATAATGTTTTGTAGTCATGCAAATATATTGCAGAAAAAGACGTGTAGTATCGCATCATGTAGAGCGTGTAATGGTGTAGACAATACAGGATGTTCAATGGAGAACACGAGGCCGAGAGAAACAGGGTAATGGAATGATATTGATGATATTAGTGCATTCCTATATGTTACTATCCGACTACTGTACTATAGTGAGGTAACTATTGCTACCTCGTCGCTGCAACAGTTTTTTTTGGTATCATATTGCGGATGCGTGGTATGTATGAGACAAACTTGGGATTGTGGTCGAAATCAAACTGGAACACATTTGTATACTGCAATCTGTTTATTTTACAAAATAAACCATTATAAAATGTATCAAAAGTCTTACAACTAAACGCTTTATTAAATAATGACGCTAATTACGCAGAAGACATCGACGATAAACATGATGATTTTCTTTTTTAACGGAAAAATAACTTGGGAAGTAAAACAGTGGTAAAATCAAAAGTAATTTAAAATAAAAACAAGGCTATTCACAAATGACAAATCTTACAAAATATACAAGGGTAGATAGATAATAATGATGCTGGTGATCGTTGTAAAGGAATTAAGTAGGATTATAAGTAAGTTACAAAAAAAAGCAACAAAACGTTATGTTTGAAACAATATACGATCCACGATAGAAAGATGGAACAGTAATATTTATAGTACAGAAGAAGTGACTAGAAGAAAAAACAAGAATAAATCAAATTTAACATAAAAATCATAGAACAGTAGATATTGATTGACATATCAAAATCACTCTGTCAGTCACGTCAAAATTGTGATCTGTGATTGGATATTTCAAATCTTTATGATGATAAACTATAATGCCCTCTAGTGATAACGGTAGAAGTTTATTAAAAACTCATAACAAATGGTTTATTGAAATTTGTTTTCAGGAGTTAGATTTAAAATTATCAATAGTGGTATCATCGTAGCCACTGGTTAGTCAAAGTTGCTAATACCATTTCCTATAGAAATTTTCTAAACTTCATGTCATGAGGGTCTGGTAAAACCATATGATCCCTATATAATTAATCTTACTAAGTAAACTTCTTTATTGAAAATCTATCCAGTATTAATAGGCGTCCATGCAAAATTTCTTCCGTTTCTTATTTTCTCGTCTCTTGGGTCGTCAGCTGGCACATCTTTCTTAGTAATAAAGAATCTTTCAAATCTATCTCTCAGTTCGTCAGGTGTTATAGGTGTAGCTGTGGTCTCTGTTGATTTTTCGCGATAGAAATAGTCCGCTTGGTGAGGGTGGCGGTGGTAGTAGCCTGAAAATATTTACACTATTACTACTTGAAATATAGTAAGTGGATGGTAACATGGTATTTGGTCGCATTTATTAATAAGATGACTCTAATATCTTCCAATTGTAGGTGTTGAAAGTGACGATATTATCACATAGTTTGAAGCAGCGAGTTGTCGTTTGAAGTATGGTTTTTTTTTTTTCAAATACTTAATGCTTAACGTGGACATAAATTACGAAGCACAAATCGTATAAGTAGATTCAATACACAAAAGGTTTCCAATGTTCAAAATTGTTTCGGCGTTGTTGACTCAAGTACTATAATAAATCTAGAACCTTTTTGATATTTGTTCAGCTCTGCGGTCCAATAACTCCAGGGCGATATGAAAATATGGTATATTAATAATGACGATCAACAATTTTTGTACTGAATACCCGACTATATGTTTGTAATAGAACGTGCAAGTACATCAATTGACCTTTTGTGCAATGAACCTTACCTGAATTGCATTTAGATTTGCTTTTGCAAATGGCGTGGACCAAATTCTGCGATGAGCTTGTAAGAAGAAGTTTAGTATGTCCTGCCCTGTAAACATGCATTTAGTTCCTTTCCTGTTTTTATCATTTAATCTATAAATATATCCACATATTTTTAGTAAATTACGCATATTTTTCTTGAAGAAAATTCAAATTGAAGAAAGTTAAAATGAAGTCTAAAAGCCCCCATAAACGGGACGATTTGTCTTCGAGATCCGTCGTTTCAGACTGATAGAAACGACGAATCGATAATGTAAGGTTGTGTCGTTAACGATTAACTTGAACGCTACGGTAGTGGTGACGGATCGGTACGATTATCGTGGCAATTGATCGAAACGACGAATCGTCTGCATATGAGGGCAATGACGTATTTTCCGAAAGCCTCAAAGAAATAATCTTTTTCTAATATTAGTATAGGTATATAATGCATATTTTCAATGAAAAGTTAATTTGTTTGTTATTTTAGACGTTATCTACGATATCGAAATTATTATTTTCCTGAGATAAACCAAGGAAAGAAAACAACGACTAATTAACAAAGTTAGAAATACACCTCTCCCATAACTTTAAATAACTACACCTACCTACATAACGTATCCGTACTATAGTAATGTGATCGATCATCATTTTCTCTTTATTGGTTCTATCCCATAAGGAAAATTATTTGGTCTTGTGACACTACATTGACACGAGGTCATCGCGTCTTTGTTGCGCTGTGTTTCTAGAAACATTGTTTTATTATTTCACTACAATGTTATTTGTAAAATAATAATAACCTCTCAGGACAATTTTTATATCATCTTGAACAACAACAACTTTTGTTTGTTTGTTTTAGATAGATAGATAACTCGTCTATTTGCTGAATCACAGTACATCACAAACAAACTTATGACATATGTACAATGGTAATCATAAAGAAAAATGCTAGTCTAGGCTAACAGCTATAGTCTTTAGTATCATGTTGTGTCAGGTGTAGAGTTGACTGAACTGTATCAGCAATAAGGGACTGACTCAGCATTATGCCGCAGTTCGGTCGAATTACGACGCTGAAGATTTTGCCAGGTCCTAAAGTTTTTAGTTTTTATTGTACTGTCTGACACTTTTTAAATCGGTATATGGTTTTAAAGTAGTAAATTCAAACATGCAAGCGCCCTCCCCGACGATTCCCATACCTGCATTTTGCATTGGATTGGTATTTATTCCATAGCTTTCTTTTGTTACTGCACAGAGTTATCACCGTTTTGAACGATCTACTTCAATATTGTTATTTTTGTACGAAAGTAAAATCTGGTGAATTATTAAAAGTCGTAGAACATAAGCTGTTGTTTATAATATTAATAATATTATAGTCCTGCGAGGTTAGTGTTTTACGAATTACCCTGTGTAATGTTGAATACTAATTATTTATGGTAAACATCGGCCACAAATATACATAAACATAAAAATGTACACATAACGGAGTATAGTAACAATTTCTATCAAAAAAATCGACCTATTGTGTATCTTTAGGTGCGGCCCATGTTTTGATAGAATAGTTATTTACCAATACATTCCTCTAATAAGAATATGATATAAACAATAAATAACTTACACTGATAAATTTACTAGAAATTATGTACAATGGACTTTGATGACGGGAATAAATTCCACATTAAAACTTTGGACTATAAATAGATTTATGATTTGTACATTGGTGTCTTAACATGTCTAGGTAAACTAATAAATATTTTAATAAAATAATCAGTTTAATAGGTCTTGGACCATATTATTTCATTACAACCTTGTTTTAACGTAGGGAGTATTTTATTTTTACTTTGTTGTTTTCAATTGTGAAAATGTTATCGAATAATTAATTTTAATACATTCTTGACTGTCCAAAGCTTGCCGTGATAGCCAGCAAGTCATACCTTTGGTATAATAAAGCCAAACGTGATCAAGAAACAAATTATGTACGCGTGAAATTTTTAGTCCAATTTAGTAATTGACTTACAATTATATGGACGTCGGGTCCGCGTACGACCCTAATGGCAACGGACTTGAGTATGATTTTCAGTGCTCACTGCAATACTCTAGTCCTGACTTGAGTATTGAGTAGAGTTCTAGAATACGACCCTTAGAGTGAATACCTCGTATGTGATTTATGCGTACATTTTCAAGACTAAGATAAAAATGTGGCGTTATATAATGTTTATAGTTAGCATTTTAATTACTTAAATTATACCTCTTTCAGATGCTATGATACTTTAATATTGTATTTAAGAAAAATATTTATTTTATAAGCTTCAACAAAAATTAGTACAAAAAAATACACAGTTTGTTTGTAAAATAACGCTTACAACGCACACACTCATAACGGCACTAGGGAAACTCTGTATTGCGGTGCCATGGGCATACACATAGACAACTCAAATTACACCAAACTCACGAGAGAAATTAATGGAAGCCAAACAAATTTCTCCCGGGTCCGGGAATCGAACCGAGGACCCCTGTATGGCAGACCACCATGGTAACCGTTTGGCCACAGAGGCAGTTTAAAATGTATAACTGAGTGTGCAACTTTTCACTCTAAAGCCTAATAATAAGGTTCTAATTTACCTTTAAACATTATAACCCGTAATGTGTAATTACTATAGTTGTGTATGCAACATTTTGCCTTTCTATAAATAAATAATAATAATATGAATTAGATAATTCTTTACGACTCAGTTAAAATTACACAGAACGCATAATTCAGTGTTTTCTCATAACATATAAACGTGATACTAACAATGTAAATTTTTAGTTGCGGCAATGGAAATGCATACATATTTTACCTCATCACACTGCATATTATTTCTTTATAAATTTGACATACTTAAATAATCTTACTCGAATGTGTCATTTATTGAGCTCAATGATATTGTATATGTTATATAAAAACCAATTGTTTGATCATGATTAAACATCATACGCAAGAACTATTTATGAAAATACTTTTGTGGCGTTCCTTTTCAGGTTTTTCAGGATTTTGCTTTTGTTATTTAAGCAATTGATTATTATGGTGGAAATATTTAAAAAAAAAATGTACAATATTCAAAACTTATCTGCCTTACCGGGGAATTGTATTTTATATATTGGACTCTTTAATATTTTACATAATATCATATTCTTTTTGATTAAAATGAATAATGCAATACGTTATGTCTCATTAGCAGAGAATGGATATAGATAGACCTAAACACGAAGGAAGTAAAATACTTAGAGAGAATTATTGTATTGTATTTTTTGACGATCTCGGTGACGGTGTAGGCACTAGATGAGGATGTCTGGAGTTCAATTCCCGGAAGGACCAATTTGAGAAATGAACTTTCCTAAATTGGTTCTGATTTGGGTGTGCTACTACTACTACTACTGTGTTTACTACCCCAAACTTGATTTGATTTCGTTGTTTTGTTACATAGTACAGGTATTTCCTAGTTTGAAGCCTCTACCATACGATTATTGTGACAATTATCGCTAGCGACCTCGTATAATGCTTGTATACAAAATGTTGTTTCGTCATGTGACCGCTAGGGGCGCTGTATAATTTGCCATACAAAATTGTGAAGCAATTTCCGCGGTCGCTAACGACAACTGTCACAGAAACTCGTGGTAGAGGCATAGATAAATAATTGGTGTGGTTGTCTAGCATATTATTATTGTTGTTATTATTATTTTGTCCGGTTTTTTTTTACTAATTATCAAGCAGTTACTTGACTGTGATAGTGTATTTAAAAGAAGTTTTGTAATATTATATTTTTACTTTCAATTACAATTATTTTGATTTTTTTCATTTATATTTTAATGGGGGAGGCGAACGAGCATACGAGACACGTGATGGAGGTAGTCATGGTGTCCGTGGACATTTGTAATATCAGTGGAGCTGCCTATGCGTTGCGAGCCTTTGAGAGCCCTGTTCATTCACTTTTTGAAGAACCCCATTTCATAGCACAAAGAAAATACTTCACGAAGACCATACATATTGTTGATATTTTTAATATTTACGTAGTTTCAGAGGGAGGTATTATCCACTTTCTGCGTATTACTTCAAGTTTGGAAGCTACAGTAGCCTAATGGTTTGACTTACCGCCTCTCAAGCAGAGGCCGTGAGTTCGAATCCAGGCCGCACCTCTGAGTTTCTCAGAATATTTGTGCGAAATTTAATTTGAATATTGTCACGTCGAAAAAGATTTACAATCTTGAAGTCTAACCTCTAACCCAACCCGCATTTCATCGCAACGGCGTGGCGGACTGTGGCTTAAAACACCCGCCTGAGAGAAAAGCCGTGTCCTGCAGCACTACATCTAATCTGGTCTTTGTTAATAAGTTCAAGTCTAATTATTTTTAAGTCTAAATCTGTGAATTATATCGTGTCATTAAAACTTACCAGATCCAGTGCCATGTCCATGTCCATGTCCATGATAATGTCCATCATACTGTGTATAACCGGCGAGTGACGGACTTCCAAAGTCCACACCATGTCCATAACTACTTCCTCCGTTACCACTGAACACAGTTACAGCTAGCAACGCTAATTTGGACAGGAAAAAGGCTTTTTTGCTCGCAAGGAGAACTAGACCTAAGATTATTGGTAGTAAGGTGGATAATTGAAACTTGAAACCTAGAAGAAATGGGACGAGAAGGTTGCGGGCTAGAAGGCGTCCTGAAAAAAATTTCAAAAAGTTTATTTAAGTTATCTTAAGAAATTAATTTAACATTGAACAATATATCCTAGTAAGCCAAACAGTGCTGCATTCTTTTTTTATTGATTGTAAGTGACGGGGCGAACAATCATGCACCTGGTGGCAAGCATCACGCCTGTCCATAACAGTTGCAGTGCCGCTCAAAGGGCACTGCCACTGCGCCCCACACTTATGTCACAGGGTGACCCCTGAGACATAAGTTGAAAAGTTTAATGTGCCTGTAATTTCACCAACACCCTTACTCTTCAAATCTGGAACGCATTAATGTTCGCATTACCGCTTGGCGGCAGAAATAGGTAAGGTGGCAGTACTTCCCTGGACAAACTCTTTGACAAGGAGCCTACTGCTTCTATTCTATTTACTTTGTGCGTAGAAGGAAGTAAAAAAGTGTTTATGTAAAAGGGATGTAGTTTCTATTCATATCAACGGCTCCGCTGAACAAACGTGTTATAATGAAAAAGACCAATTTTACACGAAAATCAAAGACAGTAGAAACTTCAATAACTTTGCACCTAATTGATTTATTTCGAAAGAAATGTATGACGTAACCAATGGAAATAAATTAACGTGTGTTTTTACGGCGACGTTTTTTTAATGATGTCAAGCGACGGGATAAACAAGTCGTGCGCCTGATGGTAAGTTACACGCCTGTCCATAACAGTTGCAGTACCACTCAGAGCTTTAAATCGCACTCTGAGGGGCACTACCACTAAGCGCGTCACCCTGAGACATATGCTAACACGTCTCATGTGCCTGTAATTTCACCAGCGCCCTTTAAAGCCAGGGCACAGTAATGCTGACATTACTGCTTGGCGGCAGAAATAGGTAAGGTGGCAGCACTACCCTGGACGAAATCTTTCACAAGGAGCGCTAGTCTGGGTATTTTTATGTATTTTCGGAGTTAATTTCGGTACTCGTGTCTGCTTAACAAAAGGTTCTTCAGTTTCACATCAGGTAATTGAATGGTGTTGTGTGGCTTGTTGTAATTTACAAGTTTTACTGCTACCAGTACTCTACTCTGGTTGCAGTGCCACTCAGAGTTCTAAAAAACGTAATAGTGCACAGTATTTATTTTTTCTAAACGTATATTACAAAAAATTAAATTACTTTTGCGTGCTTATTGCATGAGACAATCCGAAAAAGTACGATAAAATAAAATACAAGTATAATCGTGTAGGGAAACGACAAAATGCCCTATACGATTATACAAGTTTCTTGTTATTTAAGCCTGAAGAGATTTATGCGTAACAGTTGTATTGTTTTATTCGTACGTAATTTATATTTATGTTTCGTTGGAACAAACATTTGAGTTACATAGTGTTCACCTAGAAACGTACTTTTGTATTGTAAATTATGCAAATACAGATAAGTAAAAACCACTGCGACAGCTACAAAAGCAAAATTTCAGGGGTGTGGCTACTCTTTTCTACATATTTGCTGCTCAATTAAATAGAAAACAATGCAGTCAAACCAGAAACAGAACCATTTTGAAAATTTGTTACAGTGTTATTTATTTTTTATTTTTTTCGCGCGAAAAAATGGTTTTTTATTTTTAACTTCTTCTCTTTTCCCATTTTATTTGGAGTTGGGTGGTTCTTGTACGTCGGCGTCAAGTCGCTCTGTCCTGGGTTGTCGTTGGTGAGACATTCAGGACATTTACGTCTTTCTTGACATTGGTGTATTATGTAGCTGGGGATCTTTCTCTTCCACGGGGTTTTGTACAGATGTTCAATACTACGATTACAGAGTAACTTTCTCTGAGCAGGCTTATAATATAATAGAACATTATAACTTTATATGAAAATATGTGAAAAAGCTTTTGCACGTTTATTCGGGGGGATGTCGATATATTCAATATCGTGTGTGGAGAGAGTTACTTTCTAAATTTATAATTGTATTTCTTAAACTCTGGATTATCCCCTAGTTGCTGTTTACGAGAAAACCAGGATGCTCATATTAATAACAGGAAGCCATACCACATATACTCTTGTAGAAAGTTTTGCAATTTTGTTTTTGTGATAATTTCCGACGATCCCTGTGTTACCTGTGTTATTAAAATTTAATTCCACGGCTAAAAAGTATGTGAGCAACATATTTTGTTTAAAATTAACTCAAATTCTTATTCAAGTTTTCATAAATGACGCCCGATAGGTTTACTGTTTAAACTTCTTAGTATAGAACAGTAAACCTATCGTGCATAGATTTTCTTTACCACGCGTAAAAGTTCAACGGCTTTTTCCGAGATGGCGCTTTCTTCTTCCAAGGTAACTTTCTCCACTAGCGTTAGTACTAATACACAGTTTCAAGACTGGCTGTCTCCTTAGTTCCATAATCAATGCATAGATGGTGCTTTTTGAAGAAAGTGTAGCATGTAGAGTAATTTTTACCAGTCTTCCTGACTTTCAAATGTGGGAAAAGGTGTTATTTAAAACTATGTTGGTGTATTTTAAGTACTTAGAAAAACAGCATGCATTGAGTGGTAAATTAAGTAAATGTCAATGTGTACAGTGTGATTCCTAGATATTAATATGTCAAGCCTACATTATTAAGTCGTATTTGGTAAACAAAGGAAATATTGACGTTAATGCCAGCTTTAAAGGCGACACAGGGGTGTTTTCAGTAGTAAATTTTATGTTGTTCTTACCAGTACTCATCTCTCCATGAGACTGATGTTGATAGGCTCTATCCTTAATCCTAGGGTCCATCACAAACTCTAAAACCCCATTCGCTAGTGTGGGGCCAATTCTCATTACCAGTCCCGGGTAGACGCCGCTAAGGTCCCAATGGAGAGAACGCTTGGAGATCAGGTTACTGGCATCTTCCATCATGGAACTGGAAGTTTTGATGGGAAGAATATAAATTACAAAATTTTATTCACAGTTTTATTCTTCATATTTTAAATTGACAAAAATCAATACGCATTGTAAATAGGTAGTAATTCACCAGCGAGATAGATTCTACGGAAAACTAATGAATAATAAAAATAAAAATAAAAATCTAAGAACACTCTGTTTCTAATTTATAAACACATACGTAGGAGCAACTATTTCCAATTACTGCTATAATTTGTCATAGTGATAACGTACAATTAATATATTATTGACTTATTTGATAAAAATAATGAATAAACCTAGTTTGTATAATAATAGTAAGATAAATACGCCATCTCTGTTTTCGCGGTGGAAGTAGAATTATTTTTGAATCGATTTAACTCGTATGAAATACGAAATCTATGAAATAGGTTTATGTTGCATCTTCTTCAAATTTAATACGGCTGTGAGCAAAGCTGGATGTATGGAAATTTAAATAGTTTGAAAGGCAAAGGAAAATATCGTTGAGATACTATGTCATAAAAGTCAACATAACTCTTTAAAGAACACGAATTTTCCAACCTGTGTAGAGTCAGTATGTTAATTCATGATCAATCTATACAAGGACACTATCCGCCTTGAAGAATTAGCTGCTAACTTTGCAGAGTTCCATAATAATCTTACCGGAAATCCATAGGGTCCTTATCCAAAAAGCTGCCAAAATCTCTAGGCGTTTTCTCATCTCTTACAAACGAAACACCAGTCGACAAACTAAATGATTCTGCCTCATTATACTGATTTAGCCTATTCAACAGTTCTTTGCCAAAACACGAGCCTATTTCCGTACTCCTGTGCACACTAATGCATTGGTTCAATTCTGAATCTTCAACATTGTTCTCTTTTAACTCTTCTTCATCTTGCAACTGTATTGGTATCACTTCTATTACTAACAACGTTAGCATTAGAGAAAATACCAAAGATGATCTTGAAGCAATCATTGTAGAAGATAAAGAATTTATAGTCAGGGCTGAAGAAATTCACATAGCAAAAGTAAAGTTGGACACTACCACCAAGAATGGAACAAAAGTTACGTATAACAAAATTGTAACAGGTCGTACTGTGTTTTATAGACTCTCCTTGTTATGTCTCGGTGAACTTTGCCATTGTTTTCGGAAGCCTCCGTCACGGGATCTTCCCACAACGACAATAGGGTGAAAATTCGATGCAGATAATTTGCTATCTTTTGTGAACGATCTGCATGTCATGTGTTGTTACATCAGGTTAGATAATTGAGGTAATTTTTAAGTTGGTCGTGGAAACTGATGGCTGGCTTCGTTCTTATTTCATTGAGGCTTTGTTTTGATTTTAAATGTGGGTTATATTTTGGATGAAGTTTTCCTTGAATACTTTTCTACGCAAATTTATATATATATATATATATATATATATATATAATATATGAATATATATATAAATATATATATAAGAAATATATATATATATGAATGCGGTATATTAATATGAAGTAGATACAAATGACAAACATTAACAAATGACTATTCACAATCAGTAATTTCTAGAGTCATTTACTCATTGTTCTTTTCGCTTACCAGTAATGTTTAATCATTATGACGATTTCAGGTGTAATTTACTTGACAAGGTTTTAGAATTTTGAATTCCGTTATTTGACGTGGTATTGATAAAGCTATGTGATTGGTCACGGTTTTCCTCAAACAAGATGAAACAATAGGAGTAGATGTTATATTGTCTTTTTAATCCGAATATTTTTTTGTCTTGTAGTAGCAACGTGTTGCGATCTAGAACTAGTAGTTAAGAAAAAGAAAAGAGAGAGTTTTAGTAAGCCACTGGGCTACAACTACCACTGGGGAGTGTGGTTGCTTCTATACTGAGAAGTCAATCGTTCAAATCCCTTGACAGGATGTATCTATAACATTAATAGATTTGAGAATGTTTTTGTAAGAAGATGCACCTGTAAGTTACACAAGTTCACGATTTTTGGAAAATGTGTGAAATTCTCAACCTGGTTTGGGCCGGGCGGACTGTGTAGACCCAAATCCTTTACAACATGTGATGGGATAATGGTGATGATGATGAAAAAAATATAGCAACATTTACCTGCATAAAGTTAAGATGAATAGTCTTTTTCCTCTCGTTCCGATTAGTCTTTGTTACTCACAGTTATACCGAAATCTACAACTCTATTAAAGTTTATTTTACTATTATACCAATATGATTTCTATAGAATATTAACTGGCAATGTAAATTGTTTATTTTCTTCAATAATATCAATTAGTCTCCTAAAATAGGTCTCCAATCGCGTACGAGTAAAAGCACAGACCATGAGCCCCTTCAAAGAGAGAGGCTTTAGCAATTATAGATCACCGAATGGATATCCACTTACTCCTTGTAACATCACCGATATTGAAACCGTCATTAAAGAGAAACCTATTTATTATCAATGATAATTTTTTCAAGTCTTGAAAACTCATGCTCAATACTGTACCTCTGACCGTGCATTGTCTTACAACCTGCCTTATCTGACATTATTGAAAACACCATTTAAATCTTTAGTATTTAAACGATTCACGATCTTATGGACTTCACATTAAGTACATTATTAGAATGAATATTTTTTGGTAGTTACATCATTTTCGTTAGAAGTATAGTCCAGGAGTGAAAGTTCTTTTTTTTCTTGATGTCCGGTTTGAGTAAAAGTTTTGTTTGAATGACGTAACAATTTCTCAGGTTCACAATGACATTTAGCTTTGCTTGTTTTCACGTTTTGTTTCATACGATATAAATTATCGCGGAGGTAATTTGTTGCTTGTTTAGATTTTCTCGAAAATTGAGAATATTTTTTAGAAAATAATGAGTATGAGGGTACTTAAATTATTATGAAATGAATAAGTCATTTAATAAGAGTTTGTTAAATTATGAGTTTAATTAAGCGAGATATTTATATTATTAAAATTTGAGTTTACTTGATGAAGTAATAAATACAGCGCAAAAATTGCTAAAAAAGCTGTTTTGTGGATTAAAAATTCAATATTAAAGAACATTGCTGACTTCTGCTAGAACCATAATAACCGTAATGTAACACTTTAATTATGTATTCATAATTAAATCTGAAATCAAAATTACTTTATTTGACATGCAATTCAATAAAAGGTAAAATAAAACTTCCTAATTCCCAATAAAACTTCAGAATGGTCTAGCAGTCGACTACAAAGGAACATAGAGAACATAGTCCTTGGTGATATTCTTCCATAGGCGGTAATAATTAAGAACGTACAAAAATTTTACAAACAAACACACACTAGTATGAAAAAACTATAATTAAAGTAAGTTTAATTTATAATGAAATATAGTACGTGTCTGTCTTGTGGACATTTTCGTTTGAATCTCGACAATATTTTTTTTTGAAATCCTTTTAATTATGATTCTTAAATAATTATTTAAAAAATATGTATCAAAAAATTATATTGCATTTAATATTTTTTCTTATAAACAACACAAAAAGTATGTTTGATGTGTTGCCTTATTCCCAGACAGGTAACTGAGAAATAAAAAAAAAAACAAAATTAAATATCCATTGCTAGTTAAGAAAAGATATTCAAAAGAAATATATATTTCTTCTTTAGCGGTAGTAGGTTCCATGCATTAGTCATTGCCGTCTGGTACCACCGACGTCGCCGGAGGGCCAGAGACTTTCTGTATCTCACGTATTTTATGTAACCCCCCTCTTTCGTTGTCGTAACTCATCACTACATTAACACATTATTCCGAAAATAAAAGTTTAAATAAAAGAGGCATCTACCGCTTGTGCTTTAAAGATCACAGTCGCTTGCAAACATGTAAGATATACATTTGTTTCTTTTTTAAAGCCATGCATGACCGTATGCGAATATATTCTTTATAACAGCATGGTAAGATTCGGAATAATTTATCAAGATCATCTTATGAAATCGTCGCCCTTTACAAAGATAATTTTGCTGTTAAAAAATCACTTTGGTCTTTAATTCCGACTTAAATCCTTGCAATAAGGTTGAAGATTATGTGCATATTCGTTCCTTAATGAAGTCATGGATTTGTAAGTGGTTTAAAGGAAAATGGTAGTATGTGAACCGGACATCAGAACGCGTGTAGAAATTTCTTTTTTTTTCTCTTTAGAAAAAGGATGTTGTGGGCTCTTTTGACCTATATATTTTCTAACGATGCAACTGTATGGGAAAAAGTTAACTTTTTGCTTAGACTGCCAAAATTGTCCTACTTAGGGCGTAATATTGGATTTTGCAAATCATAGTTCAGTAGGATTTTAAAGTAAAATGTCACAATACATCTCGAAACCCACTGTCTATATTTCAATTTTCAATACTTGAAAGTATTTTTCTAAAATTTATTGGATTTGAAATTTCCCTGAAAGTGAAGCTGACTTTTGTAGTAGGTGCACAACATACAGGCATCATATTAAAGGATCCATATTTGGTGTAATTACAGGCACATGAGACTTTCGACTTATGTGTCAGGGAGACTGGCGTATGGCAGTGCCCCTCAGATTTTGATCTTCGATTTAAAGCTCTGAGTGACACTGCAACAGCTATGGACAGGTGTCTCTTACCACCAAGGCGTACGACTTGTTCGTCCTGCTATAAAGAAAAATCATAGAAAGTAAAAAGATACATGTATTATATACCACATAAGAAACCGAAATCTAAATTATTTGTAAATAGTGTCACCCGATATCATCCACGTGCGGTACAGTGCTTATTGTTTATTAGTATATAAAGGAAATGACACAGTATTTAACCGGATTTCGAGTGTTTGATTTTGCCCAATATCACACTTTCAGATTCTATACTTAGGGGCAAAAGGAGAAATCCCAAAACTACACACATCAAAAGTGTTTAAAGATCAAGTACATTTTGCCCAATTACGGAATAATCGGGTTTTTTGAAATACAATTTTTTTAACAACGATGGATTTTTTCTGGAATTTTTTAATTTGATTTTGAAAATGACATTGCCCAAAAATGCCATTAGTGTTAAAAAAATCATTATTTATCAATCGTTGTTGTAAATAACGGTTATACCATGTCGGACTGCCACGCAGAGTTCTCTCCTGAGTTTGGGTGTAATTTGTGGTTGTCTATGTGTGTGTCCAATGCACCCGAGATACAGGGTTTCCCTAGTGCGGGGCTATGAGTGTGTGCGAGTTAGTTATTGTAGTTAGTTTAGTCACTGTACTAAGGACTTGGAATGATATTGTACAGATACTAACCCATAAATAACACGCTCTAAAATGTACAATGAGGTTATTCTTGTACAAAAATTTGCAAATGGCGATCTCAATTTACGCCAATATTAAATTTACTTAACGTATTTTAAAAGAAGCGTCCGGTAAGTGTATGCTCTACACAAACGTGGTCTAATTCAATTTTAAATATTAACTGTTCAAACCAACAATATCTTTGTACAGTTGCAATTTAGTTGAAATTCTGTTGCAATTCAGTAAGTAATCGAGTGGCTCGGTGTGTCAATTCGTTGTTAAAATTTTACGTTTTATGTTGTATTTTTAATTTTTTGAGTTTTTTTATTGTTATTCATGTCATATCGATGTCATATACTATATAATCGCGGCCCATCCCTAATCCCTCTGACGATTGGTCATTTATAGGTCATATATCATCAATAACCGCCATGTTGATCTGTACAAGGGACGTGTTGCCATCGTGATGAACGGATTTGGTGATAGTTGTCTTGGGAGCGCCAGAGTCACTGAGATTACGATTATAAGATGGACGAGGGATACACCCCGAAATTTTCGTTTTTTAATTATTATTTTTCAGTATTCATTTAATTTTCTTCTGTGGTGTCATATGTGTTAGTAATTTGTTACCACAACAAATAACTTTTTTATAAAAAAAGACCAACCTCAAAATCTTGTGGAATATTTTATTCAAATTTCAACGGGACCACTACTGAGGTACCTTCTTTCCAACAAAAAAGAATAATTGAAATTATTTCACAAAAGTTATAGTAATCGCATAACAT